GCACCGTGCTAGCCCGACTTGTTCTTTGCTACCCCAGGATTTCGCGGTCAAAGACTGAAAAATTTGAGAGAAAAAAGACGGGGGAAATGAGTACGTATATATTCCCGAGGACGTCCAAGGTGCCCTTGGCAATAATTTCACCCCATTGACCCGCTGGAACTTGCCAAGCTTGGCCTCCTCGGTGCAGTGGACGAATAAATCAGAGAGTGCGACCAGGGCCATGCAAGAACATGTCGGTCATGGTGCCGGAAAATAGGTCGTGGGTGGAGCGGAATGGCACCAAGTGACGAAATGTTTCTGGCATCCTTGCCATAGCGAGCGAGCGAATATATCCATGTCGGGGCGGGTTGCCGCCAACTTTCCACAAGACGCTCGGGTAGATGAGGCAGTAAGCTTAAATCTGAATCGCTGGCACGGAGGGGTGTATGAATTGGTCATCAACATTGAACGAAGAGTCGTGTCGACGGCATGAGTGACCAAAGTGTACGGAGTAGAGACTATTCTGATGAGTTGCTGGTAGCTTTCATACTGCAAGGAGGCCCTGAGCGGCAGGCGGCAGGTTTGAAACCTGCCTGCGGAAGCGGCCCAGTGGCAAAACAACCAATTGGCATGGTTGGGTATTGTCGGTATTGCTATACGGTTTGATTCAATGACACGACGGTTTGCCAACTGGGTTGTCGGTGGGTGTTTGCTCGACAAGATTCAGGAGTACATACATGTGGGCACCGCAACTCGGCAGGCAGAGTATACATACATACATACATACTAGTAAATGATAGTACAACCAAACGCATGTTCAACTATCCATGTATATGTACATGCAGACATGATCTTCTCAGCCAACCATGGACCCCTGCCCCCCAGACAAAAGACGGGCGTGGTTTGAAAATTTGACGCTCCACACGCCATTCGGAGCTGGCCGTTGCGTCCTGTCGGTTCAAGAGCATCCTTGTCAGGCACGGAGTAGTTACCGGATAGATTACTCGGAGAGTCGAAAGGAAACAAGCTGGCATCGTGGATAGCAACAGCCAGATGCAATACTATGCGCCGGTCATTCCATCTTGAGCCTGCCACCCGGTACAGACAATGCCGCCGCGCAACCAGGGAGGACATGGAGGAACTGACTCTTGCCATGGGCAAAGCAATCAATATTTTCTGGCGGGTCTTGGCGGATCCTTGCCAATCCAGGGCCATGACAGTCCAAGGTCACATGGCAAATTCCCCTTGAATGTTGGCGCACGCGAGCTTGCTGCAAACTTCTTCTCTTGGCCGAACGTGGTTCCACCGCACGTCGGCGCTCTTTATGTTGGCGGCGAGGCTGCTCGTCGCTACAAGACCAGACGACATACCAGACTCGTATGGTCCGGGCGGGTGCAGATCAGAAGCGATCAATCGATGCCTCGCGCGAGATGGAATCCCAGGAAAACGGACTGTCCAGTTGGAACTCGGCGGCGTGGGCATGTACCGTGTAGTGGCATGTCAAGACATCGGACGAATAAACCAGCACTTGAGACTTGACATCAAAATGGCAGGAAACTACGGAGTACCAGACAAGTCCATGGTATTAGTCACCCTACCCTATACTAGCCATGAATCAAACAAAACAACTTGACATTTCTTCTCTGATGCACTCATGGCAAAGGCCCTGGAGGCTATGGCCAGGTCAAATTATGGCGCTTATTTTTAATGAAAAAACTGATTTCACAAGTGTCCATCTTGCGTAGTATCGGCCATAGCTGCGACATGTATTGACATGATGAGGTACGCGTGCCGGTATGCTGACGCTGTGGCTCATGTTAAAGAATAAATGAAATTTGCGGTAATACCATGTGCACAGTATTATCAAGCATTTAGTCTCATGCGCACTTTCAATTTATCATCTTCGCATCGCAAGAGCTGACGTTTGTCGCATCGCGGCCGGGTCTGTTCACCACCATCATCGTCTTACTTAATCTTGACCTGCCCACTCGACGCCATCGAACAGCTGAAAATGAAGAATTTGTCTCCAACTGGCCTACGACAACATCACCCAACAGAACAACGCCCGCACAACAATAGGCCTGCTTACAAGCAATGAGTTCCCCGGACAGGACGGCTCCCCGTCGACCGAATGGCCGCCTCCAAGCATGCGATCCGTGCCGGAGACGCAAGGTTGCCTGTGATCACACACAGCCGGTATGCAACCGATGCCGAGCAAGAAACCAGGCTGGAACCTGTGTCTACTTGGTCGGCGACTCGAAGCCGACGCCCAGGAATAAAACCAGCAGCTCGTTTGACTTCAACACGGCGCCTTCACGCACAGTCTCGGATGACACGCAGCCACCCGCCCGCAAGTCAAGACACTTGCACACTGCGTCACCTCCTCGGGACATGTCGTCTGCTTCTGCCTCTGGATCAGGCTTCCTCGGCGCAACCAGCCACTCGGCAGTGTACGATGAGACGACCCAAACGCTGTCCATGCTGCAGGGTTTCCAGGCTTGCCTGCCCGTACCGGGGGAGGCAAGACAGAGGCAGCGACCTGCGGACGTGTCGTCGGACGTATTACTCTCTCCCACGCGAGAAATGTGCCTGGTTGTGCTTCGCAGCATCCCGAGCCCTCCGCGGGGGCCCGTTGCATTGAGAATGTCACCTCATCTGTACGACGGGTGGGCTCCGGTGGCTGCGCAGCGCATTCTCGAGTCTCTCTACGGCCGCTTTGGCAAATATCTCGGCGCAAACCGCGTCGACTCCCAGCTCGAGGAGATTGCCACGACGCTCAGCAACAACACGCTGCGGCCCTTCTCCGACAACGTCCGGGACCCGGAGGAGTGGATTTCCCAGCTCTCGGGGCCGAACCTGCGCTGGGAGTCGCTCGGGCTCCTGTTCACCTTTAAAGAGCTGGGCGAGGACCGTACCTGGACGACGCAGCGAGGCGTGTCGGGCGGGAGCCTCAGCAAACACTGGCCCGAGGTGTCCCGGGTTTGCCTCGGACTGTCCATCGACCTGGCGCGCAGGTTCTCAGACGGCAACAGCATCCTGCTGCTGCTGTGCACGCGGCGCGCCATTGCGGAATCCGTCATTATGGGAGATGCCAGTACGACGACGGCCTACAGATTCCCCCTTGGTACATGTGTAGTATTGATCAACATGGGCTGACGGCGTCGTTTCTAGGTCTTTCTTGCTGGAGAGCCATGTCCGAGTCTACTTCTCTGCTGACGTTTCTCGGCCACCACGCCGAGTCACCGTCGCCAACGTACGAGCCGTGCCTGAGCTCGGAGACGCGCCGCAGAGTGGCCGCGCACGTCTTCATCCTGGACAAGGTCATCGTCTTGTTCACGGGACGCCCGCCGCAAATCAGCCGGCGGTACATTTCGACCCCCTTGCCGCTGGACCTCGACGACCAGGAGCTGCTGGGCAGCGAGGCAGCCATTGCCTCGTCGGTGCGCGCGCTCGACGAAAACGGCTGGAACACCAAGGGCGGGCTCTACGCGGCCACGTCCCTCCGGTGCCGTTTGCAGATTGCCCTGCTGCGCGACGAGCTTGTCGAAATCGCCGTCGGCAACTGGAAAGAGACTTCGGTCGAGACTCTATTGTATGCTTCCTCTGCGCCCTTGTCTTTTCAGTCCTCTTGTTTTCCGGCGCGCAGTCTAACCGGGCGGCCACATAGGCAGTTAAAGCGTCGAGAGACGGACACGGTGGCCAGCTTCCCCGACTCGGTCGCGTATCGCGACGGCGAGTTTGACGACCCCCTGGCCGACATGGAACGCGTGTACGCCCGGCTCGTCATCAAGCTGGAGCACCTGCAGAACCTGTTTGTCGTGGAGCGGCTGCTGTCGCGGCGCGGCCACGGCGACGAGGGCGAGCTCCTGGCGACGAGCTTCGAGCTCGTGTCGCGCACGCTGCTCTTCTGGACCAACAAGGACCGCTTCGGCATGGCTCGCGCAGACTTTGCCTGGCTGGTGATGGCGTATGCCACGCCTGGCGGCGGCATCCTGTGCATGGAGCTCCTGAAGCCGACCTTTGGCGGGCGACATGGGCGGAATTCCAAGATGACGCGGTCCAGCATCATTCAGCAGCTGAGCCTGCTGGTTGGGTTTTTGGACTGGGTCGGTCCCGGCGGTCCGAATGGCGAGCTCTGCGCAAACTGCAGCTCCGTGATCCAGCTTGTGCTGGATCACACGTTGAACGCGCCAGAGGATGAGCGCTGGCCGCCGGTGAGCCTGGATGCCGTGCAGCCGGACTTTAATTTTGAGCTGTTTGACACGTTTGACTGGCTGAGGCCGGACACGCTACTATGAGGGCTACGAGGTGAGGGCATTGGCTTTACGGTGATGATGTGGCAGCTGAGCATGGCGAGGCAGCAAAAGGCAATGGTGTTTTGGGAATTCAGCACACCAGACGCTGTGGGAGGCATGAAGCCCGTTTCCAGCGTGCTGCATGCGCTGTTCCTATCAATGGATCCTTTGTAATTGCTTGTGGCACGTTGTGCTGGGCGGCAATGTGCCGGCGGTGACGGCCATCCAACCACCTTACGGTCGACGGTGAGACAAAACGTTTCAACATTGAATGTTGAGTAACATTTGAGCACTCAAAGATGCGAATCAGACCAGCCAGGCCTGTAATACGACGCCATGCAGTCAAGTGGAGAGTTTGCTCCCAAGGTGAGTGGCGCTGGGCAGATCCAGGCTTACCTCGGCAGATGCCTCCCCTGCTTCTCAAATTCCAATCTTGCCAACAAACATGCACATGCCTTTCCAATACACAGCACAACAACCCCAAGGCTTGCCTATGACCGCAACACAGTAGTTGATGCTGTCACAACACTATTATTTTGCAGGTGCATGAAGCGTCGATGCGCATTGTTGAGCTTGTCATCCAAAGCTGCCCAGTTGGACCGTTGACAATACACTGTGGGCGATCCTCAACTGGTTCGAGGACGCAAGGCAACACTCTCCAGTAGCATCGCACTCGCATCAAAGTATATGCCGCTGTGTCTCAGGCACAGCTAGACGAGTGAGCAAATGGCAGAAAACACCGAGGGCCCCCGAGCCGGCCAAAAAGTAGCCCTTGTCACCGGAGCCGGAGTCGGCGGCATCGGAGGCGCACTCGCCCTCGAGCTGCATTCGGCCGGCTACTTTGTCATTTGCGCCGTGCGGCGGCCCTCGAGCGCCAGCGAGCTCCTGCGGCCGGGCATCATAGCCATTGAGCTCGACGTCTCGTCCACCGAGTCCGTATCAGCCGCCGCCAAGAAGGTCTCCTCCGTGACAAACGACAAGCTCCACGTCCTCGTCAACAATGCCGGCTCCGCGACGCACCGGCCGGCCCTGGACCTCGATGTCGACGGCGTCGTGGCCTCCATGTTTGACGTCAACGTCCTGGGCGTCATGCGAATGGTCAAGGCCTTCTCGGACCTCTTGATCAACGCAAAGGGCTGCGTTGTTAACATTGGCAGCATTGCGCCCATTGTGCCGCTGGTGTATTCCTCCGCCTACAATGCGACCAAGGCGGCGCTTCATGCCTATGGCGACGCGCTTCGCATGGAGCTCAAGCCTCTCGGGTACTGTGCATTCCGCTGCCATCTTTTTTTTTCTTCTCTTCTTTCCGCAGACAACCTCGCTGACTGGCTGATGTAGAGTTGACGTTGTGACCGTTGTGACGGGCGGCGTGAAGAGCAACCTAGGCGAGTCATTCCGTCCACATTGTTTCTCGAGGCAGCAACTAACCCCAGTCGCCCTTTAGTTCGCGAGGACAGCCTGTCTCTCCCCGAGGGCTCGCGGTACCTTCCCGTGCAGAATTTCTGGCTGCACCGAGTGACCATGTCTCAAAAGGGAGCAATGGACACCGACGAGTACGCTCGCAAAATCATAGGCATGATCCAGAAGAAGAACAGGCCCATTTGGTTCTGGAGCGGAGGTTCCGTCTCCATTGCCTGGTTCATGTACTACTTTGTTCCACGGCGGTTGAGGCTTTTCGTCATGGCGAGACGATTTGGGCTGATTGGGAAGAAGCTTCTTGGCCAATAGGGATAACAACAATGAGTAACTAGCATTCGCATTCGCACCCGAGACTTGAACGTGTGAATCATGTCATGGTAAATTGTCAATGATGGGGTCCAGTCCAAGGCTCCAAGCACCCAGCCACCAAGCCCTTGATTCGACAGCAGCTGAACTTGAAAAGAGCACGGCTTGAGAGCAAACTTTACCTGCACGGCATTGGCTTACCAAGTTGTTCATTAGGATGCGCCACCACCCGGGTTCTGCGTCCCGATGCGGCCATGTCCACGGACTTGCATTATTATTAATAGGCACCTTTGCCGTCGTGGCGCTTACATACGTTGATGCAAAAGTATAAAATGGCAAAAAGTATAAAATGTTTAAAAGGAGTGGGCGATTTTTGATCTTGGAGAATCTGCTTCCCACGACTTGTTTGCTCACCATCTCACCATGACTTCCCTAAACATCACCTTCATCGGCACCGCCACCGCGGTTCTCGAAATCAACGGAGTCAACTTCATCACCGACCCCTTCTTCTCGCCCGCCGGGACAGAGTGGGACCAGGGCATCGTCGTGCTGAAAATCGCATCCGGGCCTGCCCTCGGTCTGGCGGACCTCCCAGTCATCGACGCCGTGCTCTTGAGCCACGAGGACCACCCGGACAACCTGGACGAGCTCGGCCGCCGGCTTCTCGACGGCCGCCGCGTCTTCACCACCCGCGACGGCGCCGGCAAGCTCGCGCCCCGTCCCGGCGTCCGCGGCATGTCCCCGTGGGAGACGACAACCGCCAGCATCGGCGGCGGGCGCCTCGAAGTGAATGGGCGGCGTGCGCTTCGAAGTGACGGCCACTCCCTGCCAGCACCTGCCCGGCGGGGAGTGCGTGGGCTTCGTCCTGTCCGGGCCCGAGTTTGGCCAGACCAACGGGAAGCCCAACGCCATCTACTTCTCGGGCGACACCGTCTACATGGAGGAGCTCGCGGGCATCAAGGAGAGATTCCACGTCCGGGCCGCGCTGCTGAACCTGGGGGCCGCATCTGTCCCCGTGTCTGACCCGCCGCTGCAAATCACCATGGACGGCAGCCAGGCTGTTCGCTTGATTGGCGACATTGACCCCGATGTGGTGATACCCATGCACTGCGACGGCTGGGGCCACTTTGCGGAAAATAGCTCCCAGGCGGCCAAGGTTTTTGAGGCGGCAAATATTGAAAACAAGATTCGCTGGCTGAAACCGGGCGAGAAGACGCGCATCATCTGATTCCCATGCTTGTTTGCGGGTTTCATTGTTTCCGCCTCGACGGGCGGTAGTCTAGTGTGTGGGGGCCGATGGACGCAATATCTGGACATGCACGGAGATGGAAACATTTTTTGTCGTTGATATTCTTAATGGCTCTGTTGGCAAGGCCGTAGAATCGACGTTGTTGGCCTGCTGGAGGCATTGATAGGCAACATTGGGCGGGAGCATCATTGATGGGCAACGGAACCTTGCCGAGCATGAGTGATGCTCTTAGCTCTACATGTACATGTGGCAGAATGTGCGCCTCTTGATCTTGGTGTGTACATGTCGATGAAATACAACCACATTATTGAGGATGTTGTGTGTGTTTTGTGGCTGTCCGTTGTGAGCGTTGGTGCAAGTTGACCTCATCAGCGGCAACTATGAACCAGCCGTTATCCCGGTATCACACCAGACAGCACAGAGTACATTAATATCGGCATGAAGTACCTAGGGTACGTACACGTAGACACCTGAGGAGCAAGTTGCTCTAATGTCGCTAGACTGTACCTCAGACCGGTGGACAAATGTGGGGCACCCTGACACTGTTTGGACATCAACATTTGAACTTGACTTGACATTTCAGACATGCAAACATTTGAACCATCAATTGATCACTGATAACATAGACTTTGATGTAGGCCGCTTGCAGGCGAGGTCTCGCGCCACAATCAAAGCAAAGCGGGAGGCTGAGTATCGGAGCATCGCCACGCCATGCAGGAAATTCCCGTTGGGTTTTTCATCTCACCACTCCAAGTCTGCGGGCTTCCAAGATGCGCCGTCATCCCGGTGGTCATCCCGCCCGTCGTGGCCATGCCACCGTTGACGCCTGCATCCGGTCTTTCCAGTCAAAGTGACATCTGGAGTTGAGCCGCGGCTCCCCTCCTCGCATCATGAATTACTCCGCAACTCGGCGCTACGCTACATTTGACTCGACGTTTTCTGGAGGACAGAGGCGCCGGCCAAATCTGCGTCAGGCGTCATCGCGAGAGCCATCGACGCAGGCATCTTGGAATCGCTTGCTGCACCGACCATGCTTCCCGACATCAAACCCTTCAAGATTGCCGTCCCCGACTCGGCCATTGCCGCGTTAAAGGCCAAACTGGCCAAGGCTGCATACCCGGACCAAGTCGACTTCTCCGACGACTGGACGTATGGCGCGGCGCGCAACGACGTCAAACGGCTCGCCAAACATTGGGAGGACACGTTTGACTGGAGAGCGCAGGAGCAGAAGCTCAACAAGCTGCCTCACTACATGACCAAGATTTCCGTCGACGGCTTTGAACCGCTCGACATTCACTTCCTCCACCAGCGGAGCTCCCAGCCAAACGCCATTCCGCTCTTGTTCGTCCATGGGTGTGAGTGTCGACGTCCGTACCACGCGTTGAGTTGAATTGAACCATCTAACCAAGACGAATCCAATGACATAGGGCCGGGCAGCTTCCTGGAAGCCACCAAGATCTTGCCTCTGCTCACGGAGCCTCGCCAGGGACAACAGGCCTTTCACCTCATCGCGCCGTCGCTGCCCAACTTCGGCTTCTCCCAGCAGGTCCGGCAGCGAGGATTTGCTCTTCCCCAGTACGCAGAGTGCATGCACAAGGTCATGCTTCAACTCGGCTACGAAAACTACGGTAGGATACGATGCCCCTGACCGCAAACCATGACGCCTCGCCAGGCAAATCCATTGCGCACCAAGTAATTGATGCTTCGTACAGTCACGCAAGGCGGCGATTGGGGCTTCTTCATCACCCGCCTCATCGGCCTGCAATATCCAGAGCACTGCCTCGCGTCGCACATCAACTTCCCCGTCGTCCGGCCGCCCCCGGCCAAGTCGCTGTGGTTCGGCCTCCAGTATCTCCTGGGGCAGTACTCCCACACCGACAAGCAGGGGCTCGCGAGGACCCTGTGGTACTTTGCCGAGGGCGCGGGCTACATGCTGCAGCAGAGCACGAAGCCGTCCACGCTGGGCTTCTCGCTCGCCGACTCGCCCGTGGCCCTGCTGGGATGGATCTACGAAAAGCTGCACGACTGGACGCACGACTACCCGTGGACCGACGACGAAATCCTGACGTGGGTGTCCATTTACCAGTTTTCTACGGCGGGCCCGGCCGCGAGCCTTTGCATCTACTACGAGGCGTACCACGCGCGCAAGTCGTCGGTCAAATGCACCCGGTACGTGCCCTCGGTTCCGCTGGGGATATCGTACTACCCCAAGGACTTGTTTGTCGTGCCCAAGTCGTGGGGCCAATGTCTAGGGCCCGTCGTTTACGAGGCGACGCACTCCCACGGCGGACACTTTGCGGCCTTTGAGGAACCCGAGCTTTTTGCCGCGGACCTGCAGTCCATGTTTGGAGAGGAAGGGGGAGCTCGTGGCGTGGCCAAGAGGCTCTCGTCAACAGTGTAGTGTCAATCAATGTACATGTAGCATTCATTTTTGGATGGACCGAGGCGGCGCCATGTTCTACGTAGAGGGAGTAGCAGTCGACCTAGCCAGCACCTTGAACACGGCAATCATGTCATCCTCTGCCATGCCGGATGCCTTTGCTTGACTGTACAGCTCGCCGCACAGCCCCACGAGCGGCGATTGCGTGTGCGCCGCCGCCGCCGCCGCCCGGATGAGCTGCGTGCTGTTGTAGCAGTCCTTGATGGCGGCCTGCGCCGACCAGTCCCGGGCCAGGACCTTGTCCACCTTGAGCCCGGAGTACGCAGAGGCCAGGGGACCGGCCGCCAGCACCTCGGCGAAGGCGTCGAGGTCCAAGCCCTGCGCCTGCGCGAGGCTCATGGACTCGGCGAGCCCCGCCGTCATGGTGATCAAGTAGGCGTTGATGGCGTACTTCATCTTGAGCCCCGAGCCCGTCGGGCCGCAGTAGACGGAGGCACAGGTGAGCGGCTGCACGTGCGGTCGCACCCGGTCGCACACGGCCTTGTCGCCGGCCATCATTCCCACCAGCCTGCCCTGCTCGGCGGGCACCTTGCTCCCGCTCACGGGCATCTCGACGTAGCTCCCGCCCGCGCGCAGGATCTGCCTCTCGAGCTGCTGGCTGAATTCCACGGGCACCGAGCTGGTATTGATGATTGTCTTGTTTCTGATGGCTCGCTTGAGGCCGTCGTCGAATACGGACTGGATGGCCGGCGCATCGAAGAGCATGGTGAAGATGACATCCGAGTGTTGGGCGACCTGGGCTGGCGTATGGCCAATCTTGGCCCCGGCCGCGGTCAATGCAGGATACTTGGACGCGCTCCGGTTCCAAACCGTTGTGGGATACGTCTTGCAGAGATTGAGGGCCATGGGCGTGCCCATCCGGCCCAAGCCAAGAAATCCGATTCTCATGGTCCTGCTGTTCGTGTCGTTTGCTTGCAAGCCCCAGAAGCTGTTTATGAATCGTGGACGAGGAGTAGAGTAGTCTGCAGATGGCCAAGATGACTGCGCCGTCTCAGGTGCAGCTCGCAGACTGATTCGCCGACAAGTGGCTACATATGTAAATATCTCAACTTCGTGGGTGCAAGGGCTTGACAACTGGTTTCTTTCGGCTCAAGGGCGCAGCCATGTCAAAACGCCAACAGGCCCACCGCGACGACGTGCCGTGAAGGGCGCCGAAATGCTAGGCTCCCCCACAAGTGAAACTTGACTCTCTTTGGTCTGGTAGTAGGACTCGGTCGTGCCATGGTTGGAGTCTCGGCTTCTGTTGGAACTGGACGAACCAATTGACTTGACGTCTCCAACCGGATGCGAGTGCATGGACCTTGGGTGTAATCGCCACCAAGATCAAGTCACTGTGCCGTATCATGATTGTCAACATCTACCGCCTAGGCCGCCTCGCAGGACCAACTTCTTGGGCCCAGCACAAATTCCGGGCCCAGAACCCATAGTGGTGCTTCTGACAAAAATTCTAAAGCCTGGACTGGTTTGTGTTTGACTCCCATCATCATGGTTTGACCAGTCGCCGCCGACTTCACAAGGGCCGTACGATAGCCACCGTCATCATATATATTCCAACATGAACGCTCAGGATAGAGCACGCTGTCTTTTTCATTATTATACAATGCCAATCCATCTACTATATAACACCCGAAGATCAACTCCGCCAAACTCCACGCCGCCGCTTAAAAAAATAAAAATGTCGCATGATGAAATGGAAAAGGTACTGCAACTATGGAGACCACAGCATAGGACCCGCGCAGACATTCTCCTTGGCGTAGGAACGATAGCGATCCAATATATCGGTCGTGTCTAGCCCTCCCTCTCTTGATTGCGGCCCAAAGCTGTAATGAGCGACTACGCCGCGCCCATCCGCCACGGCACCTGGAGCGCAATGTTAGCAACTGGATTCCGCAGGTCGGCGCAACCCTTGGCTCTGTTGACTTACCTCTACCTAGCTTCTTCGGCATAGTGACAGAAAAGTGCTCCTCATCGTCCCTATGGATGGGTTTAGCAGCGTTAATGTCGTGGCCCATCATGGCAATGAACTGGATGCCCATGCGCAGCCGCTGAAAGTCCCAAACGTTAAACTTGTACCGCCACACCTCTCGGGCCTCCAAATTCTCAAAGAAGCTGTAGTGCTCCTGTGCCGCCACCTGCCACCTCTGAAGGCCTGTGCCAAAGGCATCATACTGCGTCTCCATGATGGGCGTCTTGTCCAGGACATGGTCCGACTTGCCGCGAACCGGCAGCCAGCGGTGTTTCTTGTTGTCGGGCGAGCTCCAAAAGCTGGCGTTGACATCGCTCGGCCCGCGCCAAGAGGGCAGCGCAGACGCCCTCCAGTCGACTTGGTGCCCGGGCTCGGGGGCGGGATATTCGCCGTTGGTTTCGGGAAGGTAGGGCCGCACGGCGCCGAGATTCCAGTGAATCCAGCTAATCATGGGCTGGTTGACGACGTTTGCCGAGACGACGTAGAAGTCGGGTCGCGCAAGCTTGGTGCAAACAATGGAGCGAATCGCGTTGTCCTCGATGAAAACCTGCGGCAGGGTCAGAGGGCGACATG